ACATTCTTCGTTAATAAATAACACTGGAAATAGTAGAAGAACAGAACAATATTTGGGACAACTAATACACACCCCGGGATCTTTACTACCAGAAATCAACAGAAAAATTAAGTTAGCATGGAGTAATTATGGAAGAAACTCAATCATATTCAAATCTAGAATGCCACTCTATCTGAAGAAGAAAACATTCGACCAAGGTGTGCTACCAGTCATGACCTATGCATGCAAAACATGGACACTTAAAATGGACATCATAAGAAAACCGCAGATCGCTCAACGCTCAATGGAATGAAATATGCTGGGAATAACCAAGAGACAATGTAAAAGAATAGGGTGGATACGACAATAGACCCAGGTAATAGATGTCATCCACAGAGTCAAATCCATCAAATGGCAATGGGCAGGACACCTGACAAGAAATCGGACAACAGATATACCACGAAAATTACAGCATGGTACCCACGAAGAATTAAGAGACCTAGAAGACCGAACCAGAGATGGGACAATGATATTAGGAAATTATCACGGATATTTTGGGCCCGCATAGCCAATAATAGACAACAACGGGCCCAACTACAAAGAGAGTAAGTGAGGGAGGTTACACCATAATTGGAAATGGTTGAATAAGCTGAAAATGATGATAGTCTTCTTCGTCGTCTCTTCATGTCTGAAGAATCGTGACATTATGGCTATCTGCAGCTGGTGAATTTGGTCTTCCATCGTTGGCGATCGGAGATTTGATTGAAATGGATGACCTGTAATATTTGCTATTTGGTCAAGCCATCTTGATGGTGATCGTCCTCTGGGTCTTCGGCCTTCTACTTTGCCTTGTACAATGATTTTTTCAAGGTTGTCTTCACAAGTACTTACTAATGATGATATACAATTATCAATTAAACTGCCCTTAGCATAAATAGTTTAACCATGCAGCAAAAGAACAGTCGACATTCAAAAAGTGCCAGAAAAAACAACCTTCTTTGAATTATAATGGGAGGAAAAAAGTGTCACTCACTATATTCTCTCGTTGGATATACTATACCATATTTTATCAATGTTTATATTGTAAATTGTAAGAATATTTTATTTTATACTTCAGTGATTTTTGTTAGATTACGATATTATAGTCAATTATAATCTGAAAAATCTTTTGTAGCAGCTGAGTACGTTTAAATCTCAGCCAGGTAGATCCCCATAGTAACAAAAAAAACATTCTCGTAGGTATAAAAACACCTGGACATTCACTGCCTCTCGAGGGGAGGTAATAAAACATACAAATCGATTATGTGTTGACATTGAGGACATATACCCTAAATATCCTTGTTAGGAATCAGCAACACTGTTTATATGTCACACATTTACTCTATACCACAATAATAATACAAAAATTACCTACATAGAGTGAATGATAATGCATTTCATAGCTAAAATGTTTTAGAACTGTTATAATAATACAAATTCAATAATAAAACGTAAAAACAATTTTTTTAATCCAACAAATTTGGAATAACATAACATTAACATAATACAATGATGAATTACAACAGGAATTCATTCTAATTCATCTTCCCATGCGTTCTAAACTAAAAAAAACAAATAAACGGTCTTGGGATTTTAATCTGAAACCACTTAATCAAAGAAATAGGGCTCCATCTTCATCAATCATTTTGCATCGCAATGTAAACAACACGGGAGAAACATCAATAGTATAGATGTGCTCAATCAGTGTTTTGCTAAAATAAATTTCCAATTCTGAAACCTATTCAAAATCAATGCAGAATATTATACAGTGTATTAGAAGACTTAAGCTTTTGATATACCAATATTTATAATTTACCAATTCATAATCTAAGATTTAACACCATATTTTATTGCCACCTCAAAATTTATTATCAACACAAAAATCTTTATTAAAAAGTCAGCCTAGATGTTTCATATACATGACCTCGTAATTATTGTACACAAGAATAAGTAACTTTATTACAATTTACACAAAAATATTCTCTTGATTCTATATATTCTTCTCTTCTGGATGATCTTGTGTAAGATTACTAAGTACCTAGCCAATTTTCGTATGCTAAACTTCTTACTAACTACCATAGATTTAGGAAGAACAGATATCACATTTTGCATTTTAACCCGATCAAACAATCGGAGGTTGACTACGTACTGTAAAAACCAACTGAGATAGAGAAAGCGACATTGCCACATCTCAAATTTGCGCCTATCTACTTAGTTTGATTTGCAGAAAAGGTGACTTTAAAACCTTCACCGGATATCAATAAATCTCAATTTTTTAATTAAATTAATAGTTTATTTTTAAAGAAGCATGCGTAATAATATGTTATTAACCAGAGGATATATGCGTTACTATTAAAGGACATGTTTACTGTTTAATGTGCTGAAACGTCTAGAACTATTGGCAACGTCGCTGCTAGTCTTACGGAATGAAATGAGCCGTCCGTCCCACCACCCCTCGCGACGGCCCATGGTCCGTTATAGCGTACTACGTTTAGCTTACGGTATGTTTGAAGTCGGAATCAAGTTCGAAGTGAACTTTTCAGTGTTTTCAGTAGTTTTTTGCTTTGTTTAACGTACTTTTGAATCTGCGAATTTTCAATATGGTACGACAGTGTCAAATGTGTGGAAAAATAAGCTCAAATTACCCGAATTTGTCTTTTCACAGGTAGGTATTGTTTCCGCCGCGCCGTAATCGCCATACATAGGCGTCTCACAAGGGAGCCTCTCACAATTAAAATAATTTCTAATTATATTTGTTGAATTTTGAGCTATTAAAACAAGAACGTAGTAGCCGGTAATTGAATTATAATTCTCAATTACTACTAAAGTACAAGTACAGTCTCAACTACTACTTAACTCTTGTAGATCATAACAAATTTGAATATAAACGTTGCATTTGAAACTTTATGATAAGCCAGAAAATGACATTTTTTTTTCTTAAAATTGCGTCATATTTTGGTCATTATATACGATATTCTAAAGGAATTTTGCTCAACAAATAAACAAAGGTGTTTACCCGCCCTTTTTTTACATTTTATTGCATTATCTGCCCCTTCGGCCTCGTTTAAACAATTTTTTACCACCGTACAAATACCTCTCCTAGAGTTATTTGTACGGTGTGTTTTTTTTAGAATGGGACGAACTGTAAACAATTCTTAGGCTACTAGTTTTATACATACCTATATACAGAGTGACCCAGGCCTCCAAAAAGCTTTTTACCTATTACGTTTTTGGTTTGTAATTTTTATTTCAATTTTTTACATAAGATGGGGGCCATTGTAACGCACATTTTCAAAATATTTTTGTCAACATACAGGGTGATTCTCGGGGTGATTCAAACCGCAATACATATGCTTAATACAGTTCATGAAGATTGGGACATTTAACTAAAATTTGATTGTCTACCTTTAAAAGTAATGGATTTGTAAATAAACGTAATATTCATTATTATGCGACAGAAATCCCATACTGTAGCACACAGATTTGATACTTTTAATGATAAATGCCTTCTATTGAGAGACTAAAAGGTAATTGCCTCGTATCAGGGCCATCATAATACAAGAAGAAGACCGAAAGTTAAATCTTGTCTTATATTTTTAAAAAAACACAATTTTCTCATTAAATATTGATTTTGGGTATAGGAAGTTATTAATAATAAACATCTATTACACAGTACTTTGCAGGTAGCTATCGATTGCGAACTAACTAAATCGTTACTAATTACTAACAAAAAAGGTAAAACTAAAACCTAAATTATCATTTGAGATTAAATGGGAAGTTCTAAATAATGTTGCCTATTTTAAACAAGAAAAATGTATTTATAAGTTTTATAACATCTCTAATTAAATTTAGACGAAAATAATATTTCTGTTTGCTGTAGGTAATTTTCTCAGGGAAAATACGTAAATAAAAATGACTTTTTAAGTCAAAAAAAGTCAAAAGGACAAGTTATTCCAAAAAAGGACTGTCCTTTTCAAAAAAGGACAGGTGGCAACCCTAGGTATTTCTGGAATGGAAATTTAATGGCAAATCTACAACTTTAGTTTGAAAATATGTTCCGGCCATCTATGTTTACAAAAATGTCTAAAACGTGCTTTACCATTGCCTCCATATTCTGAAAAAAAATTGAAAGAAAAGTCACCAACCACAAACCTAATATAGAACTGTTTCGGAAGCCTGAGTCACCCTGTAAATATTCAAAAGTAACTGAAAGTTTATATAGAATTAACTGAAAGTTTAAATTGAAAATCGACGTTGGAGCGATTTTCGAAAACTACCTACTAACGTTTCAACATAAGTATATGTGGGATATTAATTATATTATTATATTAGACCTTATAACAAAACTCACCTGACGAAAAAGTGTTAATGTAGTATATTAATATGGAGTAAACATTTTACTAAATACTTTACTAATTAAATTCGTTCCAAAAAACGATACGCCACTGGCCATTAAAACAATCCAAATGAGCCTAGTTGCCGGGGTCGGAAATTTTAGACTTCTCTGTCTCTTCTGTCCTTGTTTGACACATTGGAATGTTTGATACACTACCAACGAGTATTTATGAATGAGATGTTCGGTCTATATTTATAATGTCTTTGCTAACTACATAATTATAAGCACGCGTAACACTAGACAATTAGCACAGATATTATCAAAAAATAATAAAAATTAACATAAATTTTTCAAAAAAATATAAGGTTTTAGTAACTTTGAATATAAACTAATTACTTCAAAAATACTTAATTTTATGTTATGTCAACATTAGTATTGCACAATGCACAACAAAGTATTTAACGTCAATGTCAGTTTAGTTAGTAACTCTTCTTATTATCAATACCAAAAACTTCATTAAAAATTTCATCAACATCAATGATTCATATGTTTGGTGACTCCAATTCTGTATAGGTATATTGTAAAATGTAAATATACAAACTATTTCTACTATTTACTTAAAATACTTGTATGCAAACATCATTACCTGCCGACATTGACGGCAAACTCCGAAGACACTCTGAAATAGTTGGGAATCGTGAACAACAATCGGCCACTGTTTACACAAGAAGAATCTTGGCCGAGTCGCGGCCTAAATTTTTTGCCCGCTCCTAGATTCACATCGGCCCAGTATAGAATCATATGGACCCACTTAACACTAAGTATTTGGCGAGGATATTTTCACACGATCGACAGCGGCTCCTTCACACTCGACCATTACCAAAAAAGGAACAAGATTCGCGGTGCCGATCTTTATCGACGAACACGAAATTCGAACGGCTGCTGCGCGACCTGGTGGACGACGAACGCGGCCACCGAACCGACTCGCACTGGCTGAGAAAACGACTGAAAAGTTTACGGCGTGCGTACGTAGTTGGCCCCGGCCGTACTCCACTATTTCGATGTTTCCGTCTCTTTCTGGGTGCGTGGGCGCACAACGAACGCCGGCCCTCGTGCTTTACCACAAGGGTTGACGAGATATCTACGTCACCCGAGTCGATTTTCCTAGAAGAGGGAGGGGGGAGGTTTGATTCTGAACTTCCCTCGTTTCCATTTTTAAGATGTTACATGGGAATGTAGATGTAGATGTATGGGAGAGGGGAAGTTAATCACCGCGACCTTATAAATCTATTGTGTTCTCGTTTCTTGAGTTATAACTCATCATACATCATACAGCTTCAGAGAGACGTTTTACACGGGTTAGTTTTTCATCTCCGATAGCAGTCGTACCAAAGTTTATGGTGGCACGAATGGTTGTCATCCTCAGCGCAGTCAATGATAAGGTGTTCTGGCGTTTTCCCATTTTCCCCACAGAATCTGCATTCGCCGTTGTTTCTTAGCTTCAATCTACCGAAGGGTTCATTGAGGAGATCCTGTTAAAAACCCCGCGATAATCCGAAGAGAGAGATCCTGAGAAATTTCTTCGACTGCCTTAGACCGTTGGAGGATTCCCATTCCAATTACGAATGGAGTTTTCCAAGTTATTGGGTTCTGCTTTAAGATGGCGTCCACTTGGGAAGAAGAACAGTTCTGGGTCCAGTTAGTGGAGTGTCCGTCTCTGTTTTTAGCTAGATCGTTTGCTCGTTTGCAGTTTGGCACCCACAGTAGAAGGACTTAATTTTCTTTGCATACGCATGGGGATGCAGATATATAATTGAGTCGGTCAGATTATTAGTGTTCTTTCATAACTTCGACTTACTTAGATTTTATTGTGGAAGACTGCTTTCTAAACTGTCCAGTAAACTTATGTTATAAACCTTGTAATTACTTAGAAGCTGATGCACAACGTACTATCAATGCGTTTGAAACATTCGTGCATTGTGTGACAACACACAGCAACTAACTGATTAAGATTGCATCACTGCACATGATTGCCCGCTGCACAGACACACTGTCAAATCAACTAAGAACGAGATACGAGATTGATTCGTCGTTTCGTGATTTTTCCTTTGATGGTTCACCCAAAAATCGAATTCTCGCCGAACCACCGCAGAACCCATCGCATCGACGCACTGCATTATCCTCATTCTCATTATGTATAGATTCGTGCATGGATGCATCAAATCACAGCATTAACAGTAGTGAGTAGTGTCCTTAAGAGCATACATTGACGGTACCTCCAAAACGCTTGTATCATGTATACAAGACCCCCATCTTTTTTACTAAAACAGCTTAAGCTAATTACACCGTATTAAGCAAATATATTAGGTATACATTTATAATATTTATATAAGTAAACAACACAACTTACTCTTGATATTTATTTCTCACATGTATCTATTCAGAGGCATGGAATGGATATCTGCTGTTGAGAAATGTCAAGCTTGTGATCTCTTGGAAAATTCTCTATCTCCCTTGCCTAATTGAACATTAAAATTACCCTTTCAAGGTGTAGCCTCTTGCAGAATTCTTCTGTACGTTCATACCAAGATCAAAAATTCATTTGAATTAGCAATAGTTCTGAATAACAAACATATCTATTGTAATTTAATAGATGATAGCTCGTTTAGGTGGAAAGTAGGTGATGGTGTAATTGATGCAAGCTGATACATATTCTTTTATTTCGCTATCAAACTACTGCAAAATATTAAAGAGAATACCAATAAGAGTACATTAACAAATACTGCTTTCATCATCTGTGCAAGACCGCCAACTTCTTTATTTAAGCTAACTAAATCGCACTAAACAAATAAAATAGGTACAACAAATAATATTTACAAAAGTAAACAAACACTTGCACTGCTCTTGATACTTTTTTCTCGCATATCTCGCCCCTTTAGAAGCATCGAAATTTGGCTGTACGGAACTTGAGAACTTCTCAGAATATTTTCGTTTATTTCTTAACGATAAGACTATTTTTTCTTAAGCTTTATGGATGATGGCAAAGGTAAATATGGAATAAACAACTAGATCGATTAATACACCTATTTAATTTATGAAACGTAAATATATGCAAATAAATTTCTCGTGTAGTGTAAATGTATTGTGATTAATGACAATTTTCACAATAATATTTAACTAATAACTAATAACGTCAATATTTGAACCATTACTCGTAGCGATTTTTACCAAGAGACATTTTTAACGTAAAAAGCGTCGCAAATGTATATTTTTACTCAGTAGTTTTATACAGGTACGGACGAAAAGTTATTAGTCCTCAAACCAGTTGAAAAATATGTAGGTGGCGTCCTCTACAAGTAGGAGTCATATTGACATCAAAATCAAATTTCTCATGTCAAAAAACTCCCAGATACCAATTTTCATTCAAATATTAATAATTACAACCAATTTTCATCCATACCAAAATAAAGGAAATATAACTATTGTATAATTATATCGCCAAAAAAATACTTATCGTGTAATTAATTCGGCCTCTATTTTTAAACGTATTCTTTTGTGTTACGCAATATAAAATCACTGGAAGCATTTCGTGACCCCGCTTTCCAAAAGGGAAGATATCGATTCCAGACCGACACAAACAAAGCAATGTCGGTTATAAATTAACGTATACCCCGCGAACAAAACTACTCCGCGTCCTCTGGTTCTCCATAAGCCCCAACAACGCACCCAATCTGCATAATAATACCCTTTTGGAGTGATTTGGTGCGAACGAACGGGTTTTCCGTCTCTTTCTCGCTCGCACGAGTAGGGGCATCGGCACATGGTGGCGTCTTTGACAAAGACGGCGGCCTTTTTTAGCGCGAATGACCTTGCCATCGGCCGACCAAGTCGGAATGCGAAGAAAGACCCGATAATATTCGCAAACTCCGGCCCGCTCGTCTAGACGCCATGTCAAGTCTCGACTTGGCGTTATCTCCCGAGGGTGAAAGGTTATTAAGAAATGGTCGTTATACCTGAGAATCTCTATTTTACAATGTTTGTTCTGTAAAAATTCAAAAGTAGTAAGTGACGTATCAGTGGAATTTTTTTAAAATATAGCAGATTCTGTCCCGATTATACCAGGTGCGTCTCAAAAGGCTCACCCCCTATAACTATTTTATTTTTTCAGATAAAAAAACGAGATTTGGTATATGACATAAACTAGGATTGATTGACGTATTCAATTGTTTTTGGTCACTTTCTGTTTTACCGGAAATGACTACAACTTTTGATTTTCATATGGCACCCTCCGTATTTTTTTTACATTATTGGACAGAAAATAACACTCTGAATATAATGACATATCATATGTCATCTTTTGACATTTTCTCATATGGTTTATTTGAAATCATAACATGCAATTCATAACGACAATTTGACTCGAAATACCAAGCGTGTGGTATCAAATTATTCGTAAAAAAATGCTTCTTCCAAATATGCTAATGAACCACCCTCGTTCCGTTTGAAGAAATTCAGATATGATTAAAAATACGATTTGGGCATTCTTTAATCACCCGGGACAAGACACGAAAGACATTAGACGATCAAATCTATTTTTCCAAGACTCCTTGATTAAAAAATAGTGCTTTCAACAGAGCCATGGGACTCTAAATTGAAATTTAAAATAGATTTTTTTTAAATGAGAATGTCAAAATTTGACATATGTAATTTGACATGTCATTTTCTATCGAATAAAGTAAAAAAAAAATACCGAGGGTGTCATTTAAAAATCAAAAGTTATATTTATTTCCGGTGAAAAGGGAAGTGATCAAAAATAATTGAATACGTCAATCAATTCTAATATATGTCATATACTAACATACTAAATCTCGTTTTTTATCTGAAAAAATGAAAAAGTTACAAGGGTGAGCCACTTTTGAGACGCACCCGGTATAGTGTTCAATTTATAGGTAAACCAATATTATCCTCTAAAATTCTTCATGTTAATGCATGTCCTAAACATCTTAACATCTTAATGATTCATTATGCTGCAGAATTACTAAATCCAAAATCACAAGGTTCTGAACTTGATGAAACCCAAATTCTTTCTGCCAATAATAAAAGAAATAATAGATGAAATAGCTTTTAGATTAAATAGATTTAGAAATAACTTCATATGGAAAAGTAGTTTTGATAACCCAGTCTCCTGGTGGAAAGGACTGTGTTCTTCATCTTCATTATCACAAGTAGCTTCACGAATGTTGATGATGCCACCATCTTCGGCTGCCACGGAACGCAGTTTTAGCGTTTATAGTCATATTCATTCAAAAAAGAGAAACATGCTTACTAATGATAGAGCCGCACTGGCAAGAAGATGTTATTGAGTGTGATGCTGATGACAGCGATAAAGATATGCCTCTTGCTCGACTAGTGTGCCAAAAATATTTTTTTTTGTACAAATTTAACCTTAATTTATTTTTTAATTTGAAGAATAACTCTTTATTTGTGTTTATGTATGTATAAACATTTTGTGTTTTGCGATGTTTTGTTATGATTTTTATAAATACATATTTCAGTTTTTCTTATTTTTTAAAATATTTCATATATTTCCAATATTTCCATATATTTCCAATGTTTCAGCAAATATTTCCGGAAATATTTCCGAAAATATATTTCTGGAAATTTTACATCACTAGGGTTTATGCTCTCAGATAATTTTGTACCAAATTTGTGCAATTCTATCGTTTAGACATTCAGTTACTTCGTGCTAGCAAATTGCGATTCAATCGCAGCGATTTTAAAATCGTAATCGCAACCTGCTATTTGGCTCTCATAGGAAACTGCAACTGCGATTTTTTCCATTCGCGAGTTTCAATTTAGGCAACCAATATTACTATAGTTGCGATTTGTGATTTTGCTGCGATTGTGATTTTGTAAACTACGACCATGATAACCTTCTATCTGCGAGTTCGAACTTTTAGGAGTTGCGATTTGCGATTTTGTTGTGAATGTAATTTTGTGGTCCATTGA